CAACCCCTAAATTCTAAGATTCTATGAAAGATAAAGGTAAAACTGGAGAGATCCCAGTCCCTCAACAAGGGGACGAAGAAAACCCACTAGGATCCAACAATGCTCATTCTATGAAACAGCCTGAGAGAGAACAGGATTGCTGGTGGAGTTTGTGGGAGGGGTGAGGTGTCTTAATATGGCACTACAGGAGAAGAGGAGTGAGTTTGTCATTGAGACTCTTGGCTGGAACTCAGGAGATCACAACCCAGTTCTACACTAAAACCTTGTATGGTGTTGGTCAAGTGATTTAATAATTTTTTAAGTACTGCACGTGGCTTACTGAGCCTATTTTTAACCAGCATTACAGAAACAGGTCTGCTGCTCTTTGCATGCTATGCCCAAAGGTCCCAAGTTGCCACTGCAGTTACTCACACCTGCAAAATGATGCAAATGTGTCATTGCTCATCTGAAATTGCAGTTCTAGAATTGAAAATAGTTGCTAAAGCCAGACTGAAATTGTTGAACTTCCTACTGCTGAGATACACAAACTTGAAGGCCCTTTGGGGTAACTTGCTTATGCCTGTAATGAATTCATTTCATGCACTATGAAATTAAGAAGTGCAATTAGAAACAACATAATAGGCCATTTTGCAGGTCCTCTGAGGTTGGAGATTAATAGATGCATTCTGAGGGATGCAGCATGTGTAGCTTTTTTCAGTGCTAAGTCTCCTCCTTGTCTGCCTTCCCTTTCAGCTGTTTGACCGGGAGCTGTGCATCAAACAGCTGCGCTATTCGGGGATGATGGAGACCATTAAGATCAGGAAATCTGGGTACCCGATTCGCTACACCTTTGAGGAGTTCTTTGAGAGATACAGAGTTCTCCTGCCATGGTCTCTTCGTCTACAGGTGTGTAAGCAACTTCTTGGTTTAAGGTTAATCTAACTTTAGTCTTTCTCAGGATAGAAAGTTCTTGGACTGCTGCTGGCACAGTTGAGAGAGCTGTCACCACAGGGGCTGTCATACAGGAACTGCCACCACAGGAATTATAGCTAAATACATACTCGCTTGGAGCTTAGCTGAAAATGCAGAATTGCTTTTAGGTCCAGCTGTCCTTGACCTGCTCCACACAGACATCCCAGGCAGGGTGACATCCCCACTGCCCTCAGATGTTTCTTTTCTGTAATCACACACTTCTAGAGTCTGTAACATCCTCCTCAACCTGAACTCTGAAATGTTTGGCCGTGCAGTTGTGTTTCTCCTTTTCCTGAGCATTTGAGCTGAACCACATTCATTCGTTATCCTGTCTGCCCAGAGGTCTGCAAGGCCTCATCTGTTTCTGTTCTACACCCTCTGAAATGCAGAGCAGTAGATCCTTACATAGCACAGCTGCTGTGTTTCACAACCAAGCCCTAACATCATGCTGCTTTTGCACCTCAGCTGAAGAATGATGCTCAACAGAGCTGTATCAAGATCTCTGAAGCAGTGCTGGGCAAGGATGATAGCTGGCAACTTGGGAAGACCAAGATTTTCCTTAAAGTAAGTAAAAAGAACAGTTTATTATCTCTTCTCCTGAAAAACTGGATGCTTCACAGTATAGCTTGACCTGCTTGTGCAAGAGTGGTGATCTAGGAGGGCTGGGTTGTTTTATAAACTCTCGCTTGAATATGAGGCTGGATCTTTGTAATTTAATGGACACATTGGTAATTTCATGGACCTGGTGTAGGAGAGGCTGATCCTGTTCCTGTGCTCCAGCATTGCAGCTGAAACAGCACAGTGCAGTGTAGTGGAGCATAAAGAAGAACAGGCTCTCAGCACACTGCTGCAGGGACCCCCTTGCCTGTAGCACACCCCCAGGCAAAAACAAGCTTACTGCAGGCAGATTCTTGCTTGATTATGGCTACAGCCAGACCAGGTGTGTTCAGGTGCTGTGCACTCTCCCCACTGCATTCCCATAAGTGCATTTTAATCACAGTTTACACTACATCATGCTGATTTGGGGCCTCTTTCACACCATGTGTCCAGTTTTCAAAAGTTGTGGGGGAGTCTGCTCAGCTGGCATATCCACACTTCTTTTTAACAGGATCATCATGACACAGTATTGGAACTGCAACGTGAAAATGTGCTCAGAGATAAGGTTCTTCTTATCCAGAAGGTGATGAGAGGACTGAAGGACAGGTCAGTGCTCATACATAAGGAAATTTGCTTTGTTTGGAAGTAGTTGTCCTTGTGGTTCAGCTTAACATACTCTGTGCAGCATTTTTGAGTGTGAAATGTATCAATCTGTACCTTCCACCAGCCCTAAATTTAGTACTCATTATGTAACACAGCAATGTATCTATGCAGATTTTACATAAAGATTTGTTTTGGATCAGTTTTCTTATTTTCATGATGCTTTTCAAAATGCAGAGCTGTGGCACATGCAGCCTGTGTGAAAAGGAAGGGTGGGAAGGGGCATTTAAGTTAAGCCTGGAGGAGGCTCAGGGGAGACCTTATCACCCTCTACAACTCCCTGATGAAAGGATCACGTATCCCAACCAGAACTGTGATATAGGATGAAATCCTGGTTTGGTTTAGGAATACTCTTGACAGTATAGAAGCAAGAACGAAAAATCATGACATGAATACCCCTATGAAGACAGGCTAGGGAAGTTGGGGCTGTTGAGCATGGAGAAGAAAAGACCACGTGGAGACCTCAGAGCAACTTTTCAATATCTGAAGGGCCTACAAGGAGCCAGAGAGGGACTCCGTGTTAGGAACTGCAGTGATAGGACAGGGGGTAATGGGTTCAAACTGAAGGAGGGAAAGTCTAGGTTGGATGTGAGAAGAAAGCATTTTACTCTAAGGGTGGTGAGACACTGGCCCAGGTTGCCCGGGGAGGCTGTGGCTGCCCCAACCCTGGCAGTGTTCACAGCCAGGTTGGATGAGCCTGGAGCAACCTGATCTAGTGAGGAGGTGTCCCTGCCCAGGGCAGAGGGTTGGGATTAGATGATCTGTAAGGTCCATTCCAATCCTTAAATTCTATGATTCTATGAATACCTATCCCCTTTTTTCAGACTCTGTCTGCTATCTTAGTGCCACCTCTCCATAAATGTCTCAATTCACTTTCATTTTTACACCATCACAGTGTGACAACTTCTACCATAGGAAGTTCATCTTGCTCAGATGGACTCCTAGTCCTGGCAGTTAGGACTCTGGAGACCAAGTGGTCATCAGGTAGAGGAGTTAACTTATCCAATTTTGATCTTGACCACAGCAATGAATTTGATCTGCAGGTGCTTTGAGTATTTTTGCAGCAAACCGGGCTGAGATCACACTGTAGACATCCCATAAAAGGAGAAAAAAATGCCACCTTAGTCTTTTCTACTATCCTAAGAAGCAACAGAGGTAACCTATTGTTTGTCACTTCCCATGTGTGCTTAGGAAGCAGTTCCTGAAGCAGAGGAAGGCTGCTGTAGCCATTCAGTCAGCCTGGAGAGGCTATTGCTGCCGGAAGGACTTCAGAGTGGTAAGACAGAGGTGTATATATAAAACAATCTGTGTATGGTTGTATGGGTGTTTATATGCTGTGCACTGCCAGACTGAGTGGAGCATTAGGAATGAAGCTACTCACAACTGAAGGGAGGAGAGGCAAGACAGCAGGGTGTAAAATAAGGGTGTAAAGTCCAAGGAGGGCTCTTGGGACCTCTCAGGACTTGCTGAGCCTGTGACATTTCTGCTCTCTGGTGAAGTAGGAACCAGACTAACCTCTATCAGGCCTGGCTCCAGTGACCCGACGTATGGGTGATCCCACACTTCTTCTAGTCAGGAGTCCAAGGCTAGCATTTGTGCCTCACCACCATGCTGTGAGCAAAACATCTTCCACAACTGCTACAGGAAAACTGGGAATCTGTAAAAAATTACCAGAAAAATCATTATATCAATCTCACATCATGAAAAATTTTGCCAGGGAGGTTCAGATTCAGATTAGGTATAAGAAATTGGAAGAAGTTGCCCAGGGAGGCAGAGCAGTCACTGTCTCTGGAAGTGTCCAAGAGGCACCTGGACATGGAACCTAGGGATATGGTTTAGGGGTGATTATGGTGCTGCTGGGTTGACCATCGGACTTGATGATCTTGAAGGTCTCTTTCAGCCTAGATGATTCTGTGTGATTCTGTGTGAAAAATATTGGCTGATCTATAGATGGTGGATTTCTGGGTGAGGAAAGCATATTGGGGGGACTCACATTTTGTGTATTTGTGTGGCAGGGATTATTGTTATTGTTGTTATTATATTCCATACATCCCATTCACCAGGGGCAGGGGGAGAAACTGCCAGTTTCAGTCAGGAACATTTTCTGTTCCTCATCAGTCATGCAATTCCTGCCTGAAGAACCAGGCTGTTGCCCTGCTGTCTGCCACATCCTCCTCTGCTGCTTCTCTTGTGGTTGTCACATCCATCACTCCAAGGATGTGACTTTGTTAGCATTCACTTGGCTTCACTTCTGCCCTGCTCCTCCCCTTGCCATAGTCCCAGGCTATCAGTGTCACTTCCTTGAGTGACTCCCTAGAGCAGGTCCCTAAAACAACTTTAGATCATCTTAAAACCTTATTACTGGCAGAAAATAAGGCACAAAGGGCATTACTGCTTTAGCCCCTTCCAGAGGCTTTATCCACTCGCTGAATTTTGGTACCTCCTACTCATCCCAACGCCAAGGTGTGGGGCCATAATGACTTCTCTGTGCCCGTCCGCAGGTGGTGCTGGGCTTCGGGCGCCTGCAGGCTCTGTACCGCAGCCGGCAGCTGGCACAGCAGTACGAGGCCACCCGGGCTCGGCTCATCAGGCTCCAAGCCGCGTGCCGCGGGTACCTGGTGCGCCAGAAGGTGACAGAGCAGAAAAAAGCTGCCCGTCTCATCCAGGCACACACAAGGGGCATGCTGGCTCGCCAGGCCTACCAGAGGATGAAGGGGGAGGTATGTTCACAGACACCTTGGGAATATGTTTCTATTCCTATAGAGATTTCATGACCTGCAAGTGTTGTCATAGCATAGTACTGGGTGTGTGTGTATTTGGTTTGGGATGTTTTAGTTTGAGCTATTACAGCCCCCTAAGATGAATGATTTTAAAACTTTAAAAATTATGGTTTTTTTCTGCTGTTAGAAATTCTGTGATTTTCCTGTATTATCTCTTGTCGATAAAGTTCTTGAATAATTGCACATCATTACCATAATGAGTGCTCAGGCATGGGAATGGGCTGTCCAGGGAGGTGATAGATTCACCATCCCTGGAGGTTTTTGAGATGAGACTGGATGTGGCACTTAGTGCCATGGTCTAGTAACCACAGTAGGGTTGGGCTTTGAGGTCTTTTCCAGCTCAGTTGATTCTCTGATTCTATGACAGCTGTAAGAACAAGGCCCTGCTGCTGATGTGCCAGGTCTATGTGAGTGCTTGGCACAAGCAACATTTGACTTCCCATTCCAACACTGGACCTCACTGTCACACACTTTTGCAATGGTGTTTAATCCTTGCACCCCTTCATTCTAGCAGAAGGATGTTCAGGTCATGCCTAACCTGCTTCTATGTTTAAAGGAACACCTGGCAGCTCAGGAGGCAGAGGAGGCAGAAGCAAGTCAAAGGAGGAATGTGCTTGACAATAAACCAACAAATCAAGAAGTTATCAGTGACCAGGACATGGTGGACAAAATTTTTGGGTTTTTACCTTCGATGATTGGAGGCCAAGAAGGACAGGCTCCTCTGGGGTTTGAGGTACAGAGCTGCACACTGGTAGTGGGTTATGCTTATCCCTTGTGGAAATCCATTGACTGTTGGAATTCCATCAGTGGTTGCTTCTGTTTAACAATGTTCTGTACAGTGAAAGAATCACCCAAATTAGTCATCCAGTCACTGCTGCATCTGCTTTCAGTTCCCAGAAGTTTCTGGTCACATGCAGTTTGGGAACTATATAGTCTGAACCTGCACATTTGGTTTTTTGGCCCAGCCAAATAGTGCCATTCTCTGCATTGTGGCACCAACCTCATGCTCTGCTGAGAGTGCTCTCAGTGCTTTTCTGGCTGAAACAGGCTGGAAGTTCATCAGCCAAGTTATTCCATGTTCTTAAAAGTACACCTTGAGATATACTGATCCTGACAGCTGTGGGGGATGGAATCAGGTAGGGAGAGGTGGGCAGAACAGAATGGTTTGGGTTAGTGTGGAATGTGAACAGTAAGATAACACCTGGATTTTCCATCAGCAATATTCTTGCTGAAGACCAAGACAGGAATATGGAATCTCGTATGCATCTCAGATGATCTGTTGGTAGCAACTGTAAATGGCTTTGGGTTAGCTGGAAAGGCAAATTCTGGAGGACCTATGGAAACAAAATGTGCTGCTTCTTCATGTTCTGCACAGGACCTGGAAACAAAGCCTAACAAGCTGGAGGAGGTAGACCTGGACATGGTTCCCATGAGCGTGGAGCTAGAAGAAGAAGCAGATGGCTTGGAAGAGTACACCTTCCCCAAGTTTGCAGCTACTTATTTCCAGGGATCTTCTACACATACACATATCCGGAGACAGCTGCGGCACCCACTGCTCTACCATGACGACAAGGACAATGTCCTGGTATCTTGTTCCTTCTTGTTGTGGCTGAACCTGCTCACTCCACAGCCCTGACTTTACAGCTCCCCTTATCCTTGGGGTCCCTTCACCTCTGGACCTGGGAACCAGAGACTTCAGAGCCAAGCAGAGCTAAGCACTTGTATGAAAGAGGCAGTTCCCATCAGCACTTTTGGCACTTTGCAGGCAGGAACTTCACACAGATACCTGCTCAACCCTCTATGGTCACCTTTAATCTGCCCAAAGAGGGAACTCAGAGGTTTGTTTTGACTTCTCCAGACACTCTTTGAGGGGCAAAAACGGACCGGAGAGAAGCAGCATCAGAGCTCACCCATCTCTCTGCTCTTATTTGGGTTGCTGGTCTGTGAGCTAGGACAGGAGGGGGAGGCCCAGGCTTCCAATTTTCCTGATGAATCAGAGAGGAGGGAAATTTTCCTTGATGCTAAACAGCCTTGCAATATGGAGAATCCAATTGCATGAAAAACTATTCTATTCTATTAGTTGACTTTTTAGATCTGGGCATGAGAGCTCCTGAAGAGTCCACTCCACTGCTTATCCATCCAGGTGGATAAATGCTGAGTGCAGTTCTTTTGGCAGTGTCTGATTGTGCTTTCTGCTACTACAGGCTTCTCTGGTTGTGTGGGTAATCATCCTGAGGTTCATGGGGGACCTGCCAGAGCCAGCGATGTTTGCCAAGAACACTGCCACCAAGAGCAGCTCTGTGATGACACAGATCTATGACACACTTGGCAGGAAAAACCAGGTCCAGTTCAGGAATGACAGTCCAGATATGGTGAGGAGCAGGCTATATTTGTGTTTTCATTTGCTTTCCTTGATCTCCGTGCTGTTCTGCCAAGAGGGAGAAGAGCAAAGGAACCCTTTCATGCTACTGTACTTGAAATGCCACAAGTGCAAAAGGGCATCTGTCAGTCCTGGCAGGACACTGCAGCTCCTTCTGACAGGAGGGGATGAGACGAAAACATCTTCACTTGAGCATGTTTCTGTCCTTAATGCATCATTCTTGCTGTGCATTAAATGAATTTCCTATAATGATTTTGTGTGTTACAGAGAGAAGCCAGAAGGGATATCAAGATTTCAAAGGGGATCTCTTCCCTGAAGCTGAAACGGTCATCCAAGCTGACAGGGAAGGTAAGAGGTGGAAATAAATGGCTTTTTCTTGCCTGGAACACTGTCTCCATCTTCTGACAGAAGCTAGGGGACAGGGACCTCCCAGCTGGGAACTGGTTCCCGTGCCAAGCCAGTGCAGTGCTGTGTGGGACACCTGGTGCATGTTCTTTGGAAAGCGATCCCCATGTGCACTGCTGTCATCCATTATCCAGCAGAGAGCACAGGGAACAGCTTCTTTATTTATTATTGAGAATTTTTGGCAAAATTCTGAGCCCTGAACGGACTGAGAACCACCGTGTGCTTAGGGCTATGGAGGAAAGTTCTCCTAGCCAGTAATAGTACTGTAACAGTGGATTTTGTGAGGTACCTTGAGAGGGAAGGAGGTAACATGGCCTGGTTCCAACTGCTCCTGCACTGGGCAGGAAGAGTTTTAGTCAGAAATACAGAGAAGGAATGTCTCTTGTTTCTGGGAGAGCTGCCTGATAAGAGGGGAGGTTTCTAGAGCACTTTGGTTTTTTTCAGGTGACAGCCCAGCTGCGAAGTGGAGAAGAGGCTTTCCAAGAGGACACCTCAATCTCTGAGAGACCCATGTCCAACCTAGAAAAAGTGCACTTCATTATTGGCAATGCGATTCTGCGTCCTGCCATCAGGTAGGAAATTTGTACCTCTTTCCTGGGACCAGCTATCCATTACACCAAGGAAATCCAGCATCCACTTTCCACAGTCATGGGGGCATTTTCCAAAGGTTGGAAATGTCTCACATTTCTCTCTGGGAATTCCTGGCTGAATGCCCAACCTAATGACGTAGAACTGAGGCTGCAGGCCACACACCTCTTTGGAGGATGTTCCCCTTTATCAGAGTACCACTACTCTGCTGCCTTTTCTTGTATTTTCGTGTTGCAGTTTAGGCCAGCTGCCTCCATGTGTGGCTTTCTGAGTACCCCACAGGTGTGGCATGGGGCAAAGCTCAGGGCTGCAACCCAGTAACACCTGAAGGTGTAACACAGCTCTAGTGTGGGGGAGAAGAGACACTCAGAAGAGTCAGAAATACAGAGCTAATGTACACTAGGTGGATGAGAGGTATCCCAGTAGCCTGTTGTTGAGCTCTCCAGCAATGTCCCCACATTAGACAGCTGAAGGTCTGGACTGCTGAGTCTAACAGCTACTGAGGACAAATCCTTCTCACAAGCTGATGAGGCTAGACCTTATACCAGGCATGGTGTGAGGATAAGACAGAAGCTGGTTGGTTCTGACCTGACCGCATTGAATCCTCCTCCATTCCAGCCCTTTTTAGCTTATGCAACACTTTTCTGTAGTGAAGCCCACAGGCACAGGCCCTGCCATGACCTCAGTCATGGGCTGCATTCCTCTCTACACAGTTGCTTTGTTTCAGTCAAGACAGTCCCTGAAGCAGATCCTCAGCTGGCAAAAATCGCCTTCAATCTACGTATCATAATAGCCACAAGCTAAGTACCTACTCCCTTGGTCTATGTTCATCATATGTCCTATCTGGAAACAAAAAACTCATCCACTTCATGTCTCCCACATCAGATTTGCCAAATGTGTGTTCCAAGAGTCTAGAAAAACTATGACCTTTTTAGTAGCACTTTTGTTTGTATGCAGATTTTTGCATCTGTTTCCCATATGTCCTTGCTGCAGGTAACTTGCATTTTCAGAAGCTCACCCTGAAGTGCTCTTTCCTCCTTTCCTGTCCAAGGATTCACTTCAAGTTTATATATAAATACAGAAAAAATAGATATGTATAAAATTAAGCAGGGTGTCCCCCTATCCTTATCCCTAAATCCACATATAAGCAGACAAGAGCCATGAGACACAAGCCACATGCTGCAGAGAGCAGAGAGCAAGTTTCACAGCAATGCCATTCCACAGCTGGATGAGCCAGCAGTTGTTATCCCTGCACAGTCCCCCTGCTTGTCACAGGAGGTACTCTAGCATGGGAATTGCACTTGAACCACTCGAGTAAGAAGGGGTGGCAAAGGGTCCTAAGGATACCTTGAGCCTTTTCCATGCCAAAGTTCTTTCCAGTGGTGCATTACAGGTGGTATCCTAGCTAATGTGGTTAAACCTAGCTCACATCTACTTCATCATGCCAAGCTTACAGTGGAAACGTAGCCAAAGACAGTTCAGACAGTGAATCATGACCTGTTGCTTTCACATGTTTCATTGCAGAGATGAGATCTATTGCCAGATTTGCAAACAACTCACTGAGAACAGCAACAGGAGCAGCTATGCTCGCGGCTGGATCCTGCTGTCACTTTGCCTTGGCTGCTTCCCTCCTTCAGACACATTTGTGAAGGTAACTGCTAACCTTTCCCACAGCAGCTTACATGCCTCAGCTGAGCAGGTTTCTTGTGTGTTTTCATGTTCTCATGCTGACAGCCACAAGAAAGATTTGGCTGCCATAGCAGCTGGTGCTGTGATTTTAGCAGCAACAATCTCATCTCATATCCCTATCTGGGAACTTAAATAAAGGATTGTGGTACTCACATTTTATTCTTTTCATGACATGTCACATCAGCTGAATTCTGTTGTTGATCACAGTGCTCATCTTGGATCTGCAAAGAATCAGGCAAATTTTAGCATGTCCAGTTCTGTCTTCCCAACATTTAAAAGGTGTATCTGCTTATAAGCCTAGTGATTCAATATATTCAGCAGGCCAGGATAAAATCACCCCCCATGTTTTACCAGTTCTTACCCTATGTCTCCAAGTCATACAAAATCCAACAGAGATTTGGGCTTTTTCATCATCCATTGATTTCCAAGCTGAAATGGATGATAAATCCACTTTACCACAGGGTAAAAAAACCCAACAACCTGTGGGCTTAAACCTGACATAGTCTTCCTCCTAGGTGTTAGAGGCAAACAGAATCTATGCCTGAAACTTGAGCCTTGTTTTACTGACACCCCAGTTCAAATAATTAAACTAAACATAAATGCTGCTACATGGACACTACCTGGAACAAACCAGACACAAGCCATAGGCATATTTCGACACCAATCTATATCCACAGATTCTGAACCATGCAGAATTTTGAAAGACATATCATACCCTATCTCTAGGAATGTTCTTAGTCATTAAAATAAGTGTCCAATCTTAATCAAGGACTTCAGCTATTGATATTGCTAGATAATTTAGTAAAACTAAAAGCAACCATCATCATCATCAGTCCTAACCTGAAATTAGCCCTCTTCCCAGCACTTCTCCGTGTACAGAATGTCACAAGACTTCAGGTTCTTCTGCTGAAAACACCTACCCTTGTTCTAACCTAATCATAAGAATAAAGTCTCCACTGTCTAATATTTATCATGTAGTTGAACATGGTGAATAGACTGACACAAGTCCTCACCTCTGCACTCAAAGCTCTGAAGAATGAGAGAAAACTTGGTGTCTCAAACCTCCTTCTTAGATGCACTAATTCCAACCCTAACCTTTCATATTCTCTAGTGAACTGTAAGCTCACCCATCACTCTGACCTAGTGTATCACCTGCAGGAGGTTTTGTGAGGATTAGTGTTTCCTAACTGTTTCTCATGCTCTGTGCACACAGTACCTGTTGAATTTCATCCACCATGGGCCTGCAGGCTACGCACCGTACTGCGCCGAGCGGCTGAGACGGACCTACCTCAACGGAGCACGCACTGAGCCCCCGAGCTGGCTGGAGCTTCAGGTACCACCTCCCCTTTTGCTAAATCCTATCCATCTCTGTGTGACATTTTATACTGCTTTGCCTTTACTAACCTGTACTAGCAGATCTTCCTCCACCCAATCATGGAAATCAGTTGCACAAGGGGATTGAAGACCAGCTGCCTTGGTCTGTGTAGTTTCTTGGATACATCTCTTCTAGCTGTTCAGTTAACCTTAATCCAGTGGAAGAGGCAAGTGAAAAGCTGCAACACATGACCTCCGTCCACTCAGGAGCCATGGGTCAGAACCACTTCCTGAGGGTTAGGGTTAGGGTTCTTACCTTTGTTTGTGGAAAGAACTGAGCAGCTCATACTTGTAGAATGGAGGAAGTATGTAGCACAGGGCTATATCATCTTCCTCTTCCTTTAAATGGCACCCTAGTAATTAGAAGTCACACACACACACACTCTTCAAGTGAAGACCTCTGCTCAATTCCTTCCTAAATCCGAGTGACCCTGTTGCCTGACACACATCTCCCTGGGCAAAGTACTTGCTGCAGGCCATGTCTCCACTAATGCCTGTAAGACTGTTCCAAAAAATCATCAGGACAAACAAGGCTCATGAAAAGTCAATCAGTCCATACTCTTATGTGGTAATCAACTCTCTTGAGCTGTGAGGATGGAAGAACTTGAGTCCAGTGTTTATCTGGGGATGTAATTTATCTTTAAAACTCATCACACATTAGAGAAACTGTGTGGGTGTTAGAGATTCACTTCAAGATTGTTGTTGTGGTTCATTTCACCTGGGGTTGTACAGTGTATGGAACTCTTAAATCTAAATGCCTTCTCCCTTTTTCACAGAAAAGTAAGGTTTGCCCATAATTTGTTTCACTCATTTAACTCTGACTTACAGGCAACGAAGCAGAAGAAACCTATTGTGTTTAATGTCACCCTGATGAATGGCCAAAGCATCACTGTCCCTGCAGACTCTGCTTCCACTGCCAAAGAGATCTGTCAGTTCATAGCAGACAAAACCAAACTGAAGGATGCATTTGGTTTTTCACTCTACATTGCCGTGTTCGATAAGGTAAAGTGTAGAAAGATACAATGAACTCTCACTTCTCTTTCTGTGGAGCTGCTGCTCTCCACTCCCAGCCTCACTGTAGACTTCCTCTGACTTCTGGAGCATCCTCATCCCAGTCCTACACTCAGACCAAATCAGTTCTGAATCCCAGCTGGATTTCAGGACCTGATAACCCTATTCTGCCTTTCTGTTGACTCACCACTCACAGTGAGTGTAAGGTTTCCTGAACTCTCACTTCTCTTTCTGTGGAGCTGCTGCTCTCCACTCCCAGCCTCACTGTAGACTTCCTCTGACTTCTGGAGCATCCTCATCCCAGTCCTACACTCAGACCAAATCAGTTCTGAATCCCAGCTGGATTTCAGGACCTGATAACCCTATTCTGCCTTTCTGTTGACTCACCACTCACAGTGAGTGTAAGGTTTCCTTAGGCTGTAGGAAGGGAAGGGATTTTTTACAGAGAGAGAGTGATCAGGCATTGGAATGGGCTGCCCAGGGAGGTGGTGGATTCACCATCCCTGGAGATTTTCAAGATGAAACTGGATGTGGCACTTAGTGCCATGGTCTAGT